ACTTGGATTCCAATAAGCCTGCCAATTTGAAGGATTGTTGTAAATTCTTCCACACTGTGGTCTTGGCCATTTGTAATTTGGTCCTTTGTTTTCATATACATAAGAAAAGTTTGCCTTTTTCAATTAGGTTTTGTCCATTTAAGTTTTGTGTGTGTATAGCATTGTTCTGCATTGTTTTTCACTTAAGGCAAGTTTTGTTTTTCAATTCTGTGTTTCTTTGCTCCAAAAAAGTAATGAGTGTAGAAATTGATTCTTCTTTTCACTAAACACTTGACAGCTTGAATTGCCAAATTGTCAGCTTTAATTTCATAGATGTTAGCTACAATTTTGATCATTTGTTTAGTTTCAAAGGTACATACTGGTTCATCTGCTAAATCAAATGATTGGTGTACTTGTTGTCCTTGACAAAACTGTACTGATGGTAGCATTCTTACAGTTATGTTTGCTTTTGTTATGGATACATTTGCTTGGACCAAGTTTAAACAGCATATTGCTAACAGTGTATAAATTATTGATCCTCTGATAGGAAGCATTCCACCATTTGTTTGTGTTTCCTTACTGTCACTGTGTTAACTGTTATAGGTTGTTTGTTAGCTAGTCTTAGTCTACTAGCATGATAGAATTTTCTTTTATCTGCCAATATTTGTAATTCATACAAACATTTTGTAGTATCTGTAGCAGTTACAAGATATGGTCCACTCCATTTGCTTGTATTTATTCTGTTCATTCCTTGACCAATGTTTTCATTTCTTATGTGTACCCAATCACCAATTTTGTAAGTTGGAGGTTTCTTGTAATAGCTTTATTAACTCTATCTCTATATTCCTTCTTTTTTAGAACAGATTTGCAAAGTGCTGTTGCTCTAATTTCTTCAAGTTCATGTTTTCTATCAAATAAGAATTTTGTTGTTGGTTCTAATCTTGGAACTTCCATTAACAGGTCTAAAACATTTCTATTCTTCAATCCAAATAATATTTCATGTGGGTTTTGCCAGTGCTTCCAACTGGAATTTGATTAAACATGTCTGAATTAATGGTAACTGTCTTGTCCAATCTGTCAATTGTTCCATAACTACATGTTTATGTAGTGCTCTACGAATTTCCAAATTCTTTCTTTCTACCATTCCATTACTTTGGCTATGGAATGCTGTTGTTTTAATTTTTCGTATTCCCATTGATGTCACCATTTCTGTAAAGATTTCACCAAGAAAATTCCTTCCTTGATCTGTGAGAATTTCTTCTGGGATACCAAATATTGGGAAATAGTTGAAAAACAAATGTTTAGAAATCTCCTCAGCTGTTTGAGTTTTTAGAGGGAATATGTTGGTAAATCTGGACATGTGGTCTATAATGACAAGTATATACTTGTAAGAATCATGTCCAGTCAGAGGTCCCATTATGTCCATAGCTATTCTTTGCATTGGTAAAGTTGGGTGAGGTGTTTCAACCAACAGATGTTTGTTGCCTGGTGCTCTTAATTGCTCACAAAATTCACAACTCTTTATGTGATCTTTAATTGTTTTCTTTAGCTTGGGGTGCCAGAAAGCTTGCTCCAAAGTGTGAATTGTTATGTCTACACCATAGTGCTCAATAGTTGATGTTGATGAATTTGTCCAAGTAAGTTGGTTAGAGTTGATAGTGGAATTACAAGTAGTGGTTGACAGCCATTTAGATACCATACAAGATCTTCTTTTACAAACATAGATTCAATAAAGTTTCCATATTCATTCAAAGACCCATTATCAATGTTTTCTCCTTCCAATTTGTCTACAACTTTCATTAGTGGAGTATCTAATACTTGTTCTCTATAGAAGTTTATTTCAACTGGTGTGATTTTTAGTTTCATAATCTGGGCTTGGATTTCAGTTATGTCTTCATCATAATCATTGTCTAGATTGTCATCTAAACAATCATCTAATTCTTCTAAGTCCTCTGTATCAATATAAAAGCATTTAAGCATATCCTTTCTTTCTGCTAATTGGGGAACTGTATTGCCATTTTGTTTTTCTTCATTTAATCTTTCCTTAAGTAAATTACGAAAATCAATTACTTCATCAGTTTCACCAATTCTTGATATCCAGTCTGCTCTATTAGTTCTTCCTGGTATGTATATTATTTCAAAATCCATATCCATAAGTGCCATCACCCATTTAACAGTACTTGTATTCAGTTTGTTTTGTACAAATGTTTGTACCAAATTTTGGTGATCAGTGTAGAGAAAAAATTTCTTATACTGTAGATAATGGGAGAATTTTTGTACTGCCCAATATACTGCAAAAGCCTCTTTTTGATAAGCTGCATATCTTAGTTGTGTATTGATTAGGAGCTTGGAAGCAAAAG